ACTCCACAGAGGGGAAGGAACATCGAAGGGGAAAAAGTCGAGAGGGAGGGAGAGGGAAGAGAAGAGCATTTCAAAAATATAAAAGAGACAGACACAAAGGTAGAANCCCCCCACCTCCCCTCCACTCCTGTCACCCTCTTTGAGTTGAATAAAGTTGTTTAAACTTGATTAGGCAAGTACCGTAGTGCCTTTTAAGGGGGAAGGATGAATTATAATTAGTTTTTTTATTACCCTTTCTAAAAAAACGCATTTTGCATTTTAGTGGAAGGCTCTCTATCTCTTGTTGAGACCATTTACTACATGGGGTATGCACCAGTGCTTACCCTTGGCAATGCGTGCGAACTGTCGTAAGTTCATCTCCACCATAGCCTGTCAAGATGCAATCAGATTCGAATGGCAAGCTGGAATTCACGCGAATGCCTTGCTAGTTGTTCTTGCCTATATCTTTCCACCTCTAGTACTCTCTTCCTTCGTCACCTTCTCCTACGGTATTGTCCTTTTACACGGCCACTTTGAAAATGATATATTTAAGCGTCTCAACTGTAATATCAAACAAATTGACATGGGGAAACAGCCCGATATCTCTAAGAGGAAGAAGTTAGAAATGTTCTACCATGCTCCCAGAACTAAGTTCTGTGCTCACACTGTAAATCTACTTAAATGTTATAAGTTATTTTTATTTTAGGCTTTTTACATATTTTTCTTGGCTTTCTTCTCATACACTCTACTCTTCGGAATGCGACCAGAGAAGATAACTATATTGGAAGGAATTCTGATGTTATATTTGGGCTCTTTTTCCGTTGAAACTATTCGAAATGTGAGTTGGAACTAAAATAATTGTTAATCATTCTTCAAGTTTACAAAATCGAAGGAAAAAATGAGTCTGACCGTGCAGCACCTCTACCGATGGTTAAATGGTGACAAATGGCATGCTTATGATGCTGCTTTACTGGTTGCTAGTTTAACAACGGTGTGCCTGCGTAATGGAATGGAGGAGACGTATATTGTTGCAAAGACATTCTACTCAATTATTTGTAAGTAGCCTAATTCATTTTGACATGTTTATTTCAGTGATATTCTATTTTCTGCGTTTATTTCAAATGTATTCAATGAATCGAAGACTTGGTCCTCAATCAGTTATGATCTTTCAAATGTTGGTAGAATTGTCCATATTCCTTCTTATTTTGATGATCTTCCTTATTCCTTACGGAATTGCCACCCAAGCTCTTCGGTTTCCATATCTTACTGAGTATGATTCGAGTTACCTAAAAAATGCCCTGCATTTCGCTTATTACCGACTATATGATGATGTACCAATGGAAGTCAACGAAGGTAAATGGTTGCTTAAATAATATTATATATATATATATATATATATATATATATATATGGTTTGGAATGTAATTGCTTCATTTTGCTGAGGTATGATGTATAACTTTAGCCTGTTGTTAAATTAACTATATCAACAATAAATATGTAATGTAATTTTAGGGTGCGAAAATTCTACCGCTGATGGGATACACTGTCCAGTCTACAATTTTGTGGTTCCTTTACTTTTGGCAATCTATATGCTTGTTGTGGTTATTCTACTAGTTAATCTACTGATTGCTATTTTCAGGTAATAGGGAAACGAGCATACTCGATTTCATAACTCTAGTCGAGTTATTGACGTAGTTATTTTGATTACTATTAAATGCAGTCTTCTAAAGTGAAAATGTAGCTAATTGATGTGAACTCAAGCACAATTTATAGGTGTTGATTACATTAGTCTATTATTTGAGACTTAAAAAATTAAAATTGTATTTGTTTTGAGCATTTCTTTATTATTTTTTATCATTAGCCGTAGTAAGGTCTGAAAGGTTTTAAAATATTATTTCAGATTGAAACGCAATGACACACAAAAAATGTTAGAACATGAAATGACTGATAAAGAATAATAAATCAAAATGTTGGGCAAATGATTTAAAAATTTTTAGAGACCGAAATAGTAAACACTGTTGATCCCAGTTGAAATTAAAAATTTCCATTCCTATGACATGCAAACATTTTAAATCAATAGGTTCTGCTTTGTGTCAACTGGTATATCAATCAGGTCGCTAATCATAGATTTGAGTCATTCTGACAAGGTACTTTCCCCATTGTACAAGATGTCAGAGACCACTTTACTTGTCGATCAGAAGTTTGTCTATTTGTTCCTGTGCACCTCATATGCATTTGTCAGAATTCTTAAAAGTAGGATACTTTTAACCTAAGCGAGTAATTCAAGTTCATTTATTTATCTGATATTGATCTTTATCCTTTCTTCGAAATTTGTTCATATTTTTTGACAAAATTTCAGTAATGTATTTGAAGCTGTTGAAAAAGAGTCTCTACACTTTTGGAAGGCAACAATGCTTCGACTGCTTTTTGAATACAAGAAAGCTCCTATTGTTCCATCTCCATTCAGCCTTTTTCAATCACTCTATGAGACAGTTATCTACACCTATGAAGCTTGCATCAAGCGCTATCTGAATACAAAACGTCTTAGAAGTAAGCGCATTCCATTCGCAGAAATAGCATCAGCGATTGCTGCTCATGCATGTTATTGTAGAGAAAATTTCAAAATATATAAACTTGCAATGAAATAAAAATCATAAATTATAAAGGCACTAGGATTAGGAATGCATTATTTTAAAAAATCACACCATTTTATGTGGGTGCATTTTAAGAAATCATTTATTTTCAATAAATTAAAATTCTGTATTCAAGAAAATGTAAAGAAATATAATTTGAAAATTGTAATTGTACTCAGGAAACAGACAGAGCAATATTGAAGTCGGCAGGGTGATTGAATTATGCGAGTCAATTAATGAAGTCGACGAGGAAAATGATGAAGAATTAGAAAACGCAGACCGTGATATAGAAACTTACAAAAATTCCGTCATCCAGATGCAACGCTGGGCTGTAGGCCAGGTGCTTCGCCAAAAGTCTTTTAAAGCGGCAAGCGGAGCTGTGAATACCCACCGAATGTAAGTCATTCGATAATAAATCGTATTAATAATATTTGAAATTATTTTTATTTAACTAATAACACAAGTCGATACAATAGACGTGCGCTATTTAATTAATGCCATAACTTTAGCAAAGCTAAATATTCTTTTAGATTTTCGATAGTTAGGTAAATATTGCGTTTTAAAATTAATAAGTTGGCACTATTCTTTTTCTTTAAACGCTGAAAGGATGGAGGAAGTGCATTATATGCTATCGAGTGCATTTCATCCAGCATTAACCCGTAAGCGTATTTCTGCTAAATTTTATTTTAAGAACTGTTTTTATGGTTGCTTAACGATTTGGATTATATTTCATACAAAGAATTGAAAGCGGCATATACAAGACCACCTGTTCCGGTAAGTCACAATACAAATATATTATAAGCTTATTTTCTTAAAATAAAATGTTCAATGCGTTTTTTGGAAATACCAAGGTCCCTTCTGTTCCACGTTCTGAGGATTGAATTACAAAATTCGCAGGGGTTGAAGAATAGCTCGAGAAATGCTTTAACAACAAACCCAGTTTTTCACAAATTTGCAATAACAAAATCATTCCAAGAATCAAAGACAGTATTTACAATTTTGCTTGTGATATCTACGAAGTGTCTTATTCGTGGAAGAAATAAATGCTTATTTATCTGAATGTTATTTTATTTCAAAAAAGTATTTAAAATAAACTGAAAACAGACGTTGCTAATATGCGGATTTTGTTTATTATAAATATAGTAAAATTACTGTTTTCATTTTAGTGTAATAACCTTAATATAGAAACTTGTTTTGACTAATAAAAGACCTGAATTTCCTCTAACCTTCAAATGCACTTGATTGTGATTCGTTCGATCTCTGCTAGCGTTTATAAATATTAATGGCGATAGGAATACTTCGAAGTTCTAATTTGAAAACCTTACTCTAATTGCGTTATATAAGGTCCACAATTTTTTGCTTAATCGCTTAAGATTTATGAGTTAGTCTTAAAAAATTTCAATGATTGACTTTGATGAATTCCTTCCTCTGGAATGGAAGAAGGAAGTCACTGATGGTAATTTAGTCCAATACAGAAAGTAATTCGTTTATACCATTCACTGATCAATTTAGTTCTAAGACCGGGCTAGTCGTAAAACGTCACCCACTAACAGGCAGCGAGAGTTATCTGTCCCCAATGCCGCATCATTGGAGTTCTTCAAGTGATGGACACGGAAATACCTTATTTATAAAGTTCGTTCTAGTATTGCTATTATACGAGGGTTTTAGTTCAATTAATGGTTCGAAGACTTACATCGATCCTCGGTTGTCTCTACCATTTTTATCTGTCCCCAAATGTCGACTCGAAAAAAGTATTCGATTTGACAATTTAGCCACTGTTTCTGAGGTAGCCATAGTCATTATCATGTATTGTAAAGGTTTTAAACGATTGCAAAGTAACTGGGAAGCTTATAATTATCCTTGGTGGAACGAGTGGAATTGGATTGCATCTGGCGAAGTCTTTTATTCAACGTGGTGCAAACGTTTTCTGCCTGTCTCGAGAACCACCCCATGTTAAATGGTTCCCTTTTCCTTCGCTTGATAGCTCCAAAACACTGCCGGAAAGTCATCTCTTTTGGACACATTTGGATCTCACGTGTTTGCAAACTGTTGTCGATTTTGTGGAGGTATGCTCTTATTTTAGTGAACCATGCTTAGAACATGTCTAAATTTGGATGGCCAATCGAATCAGTTATAATTTCTTCAGCATGCTTACCCGAGCCCACTCAAAACCTTAAATCCGTGGACGGTTTCGATTCCATTTTGCAAATCAATCTTTTCGCTCCAATACTCCTAATCCGCTTGCTATTGCATCGATTATGTTTCACTTCAAACTCCACCGTCGTATTTGTGTCCTGCAGAGCTCTACGGTAATTTGATACCTCTTTCTCAGACTATTGAATTCAGAGCAAGTAACATATGTGAACCGGAAGATATTTATTCAACCCTCGAACCGTTACGATCTACTTATGAAACCATTTCAGGTCGCATTCAACTGTATGCCAATATAAAATTTCTCCAGGTAGCATTTGCATATGCCTTAAGAAATGTTATCGGAAAAAAGAACAATCAATTTCCAACACTTTACGCATGCTGTCCAGGGCAAATACCCGAAAGTAAGCATGTTTCACAAGCATCATGGTCGGCTTGGTGGTGGTATAAGATTCTCCGGTTTATTACCTATCCATTCATGAAAACCATGGTTAGTTTTTATGAAATTTCTCACAACGAAATACCTTAGGAATGTTGTGCAGCAGGAATTGCTTACTGTGCTCTACATCCAGCAGCAAAAGATACATTTAATTTTGAAGGATGTGTGCCAATTCCAATTCCAGAAGTAATGAATAACCAGGAACTGATTAGGTCCATTTGGAACCACGTTAACGAAATTATGGAATCACGTATGACGTTACCTCCGTGGACCCGTAAATAATAAAAAGGTGTAAATACATATACAATTATTTAATACTGTACTTGAACTACAGAAAGATTTTAACGCAATCCGGGTTTTTACGACTAGCGTTTTGGTGTCCAAGGGGCTATGACATCAGCGTAGGTCTTAATTTCTGAATACGAAAAACGAGTATTTAATAATCCACAAAAAATGAAAAGCGCTATGAATTTAAGAAACAAAATACCTTTCTGAGGGACACGATCAGGGAACATGGATTTGTAATGTTCGATTACGAGAAGACGAGTCCTCTTTCGCTTATATACTACGTACTCAATAGCACGACCAACCCCGTACATGAGAGCAACGGTTGGAATTGTTCTATATAGTTCTAATTTACTGATATAAGAATTAATTATGGATTACTAGCATAGAACGGTCTTCTAGCATAAATATTTGCAGTGCAATTTAAGACAACTGTGAACGCAGCTAACCCTTCCGAGATCATCGATGCGATTGGTGAACAGCGAGGCCTTCTAAGGCAAATGACGGAAAGGCTGAATAGGCATCGACATTGTAAAAAATTTATTTTGAAAAAATTAAACATTTTTAAAAGACAGAGGTTCTAAATTATATTTATTTGCATATTATTACATTTTTAATTTTTCAAAATGTCACTATTTGCTCTAATAACGAACTATTAATTCATTTAAGTTATCTATAAATAAATCTTAATAATTCAGCACTTATTTCCATTAAACAAGTTTTAGTGAATGACTTATCAATTGAGACTTTTCGACATTAAGGCTAAATTTGGAAAAATGATTTATCAATCAAATGTACGAAGCAAAAACTCTTAATAGGTTTTTTTATTTCTGCTTTACTCACCAACTTAAATCCTTACCGATTAGTCTAATGTTTCACTCATTGTAGAAATCTCCATTTTTCTTCCATGAATTTTTCTTTTTCAATTGTCTTCTAATTATATTTTCATTGCAGGATTATTATTACTTATATCTGCTCATTGTCCAAATTTTTTACTCCTAATATTCATGAGTCTAGAATTTCTAAAACGTTTTAGTCCTGAATTAATAGTCACTAATTTTAAATTTAAAATGTGCACCATAATTTTCTCCTTGTATGATGTCGTATACATTAGCCATCACCTAAATATTTCAAATCAACATTCAATATTAATTCACTATTAATGAAGACCATACCATAGAAACTTAGAAACATATATTCAAATGAGATTTTTAACGTAGTTAATAGAAATAAAAAGATGACTGCTTTCTTGACTATATTGCTAGGGTATGCATGCTTCCCGAAGTGATCGACTTAGCTGTTTGCCCTGTCAAGGCTATGGAAACGATGTATATCTGTAAACTTTCATCGATATTCTTAGCAATCAAAATTTGCTAGAATTTTCAACTAGAAATTGGCAATTATTGGAGTTATATCCAGAATGTATTATTCCAGCATAAATCGACTTTGATCAGCAATCACTTTATTCAAGTTGAGTCGGTCAGAAATAGCAGTTTTGCCCTAAATCAAAGCAAATTAATTCAAAGGAAACAATTAGAATTTGTTTGCTTATGATTGGAAATGAGATAAATGACAATAGCTCCAACTGCTTAAGATAACTGACGAGTAATGAACAATGATATAAGCTGATTGTGAAATTACTGGATTTAGAAAAATCTAATTATTACTGCGGAAGTTAGTTATTAGAAATGAGAACATCGCCTATCGCTAGGCTGTTGTGAAAAATTGATTTTCAAAATCGGTGAGTAGGGACATCTTGGCTCACAAACGGAAATAAATAATGAAAAAATCAATCAGAATTTATCGGAAATTTAAGCATACTTTTTTGACAACACGAAATGGATACCCATTTTGCAAAACATCTATTGCTGCGGTCACATATTTTCAATCCCGAATCCATGTACAATGCTGGTATACTAGCCGCGTAAATGAAATTTCCTATTTTTGTATAGTTTAGAATATCCCTTCGATAAGAAACAGCCTAACGACGTATAGAAAAAGAACCAAGTCATTATGACCACTTCATAAATTTAGCTAAAATATATGCACATTTGAGGAGCCATACATAATCGCACTTAACTACTTTTAATTATTGAATACAATGCTACAAAATTTAAATAAACTTTGCTAAATGATTATTATATCGATTTTGATTACTTTCGAATACGAAAACGGAGATTAGAATATAACCTGATCGTTCTTGCAGCACTTTCAATGGAGCATTGAAATAATACGCCATCTTCCATAAAAAACATGCTAAAAATAAAACTATTTGGTCTTCAAAAAAGTATACTGGGTTACTTACTTAGCTCATCACTTGACACATCTTGATATTTCGATGGCAACAATTTTTGACTATGATCTTACAAATGACTGTTGCCTATTAATTAATATTCTGCCTTCAATTGTCCATTAAATAAATATAACCATTACTAACTACGTTTGTTGTTAACTACAACAAAAAAATTGAGTCTAATTCTTTCCAACAAATAGTGCAATATAGTACGAGTTCTTACTTGTTTACCGATAACTAACCAAAGCATTTTGTGAATATTAAATTTCAATTTGACTTAAAAAGTGTTATCACAATATTTCAATTTTAAAATATACTTAAAGCTTTGGCTATCGTTTTATGATCTTTTCACTAGATCTTAAATGTATACATGCCAAAATAATATCACAATAATTTTAATAAAAAAGCCGATAAACAGAGTTAATGCAGTTTCAAATACTATTAAATCTCATGTTCATTAATATAAGTTTATTTGGACTTTGGTTTTTAACCTATTAAAGGATGATCAGTATAAACTATTTTTAAATGTTTATAAGCAAGTTTAAAGTAAATTAAGCTGCATGTTAAGCTTTATTCTAAAAATACAGTAAAATCATTATTAACAATTTTTAATCCAATCTATTTTATGGAGATTATTGCTTAACTACTTTTGAGTACTCATTTATAGCAATAGCATTCTATGCCTTGGCACAGTATGTAAGTCCTTGAAAAGTAATAGGCTATTTCTTTGCCGGTGTGTTTAAATTTCTCTACAATAGGGGTTTGGTCGCGTTAACCCCGGCGATTATTTCCTCTATACTTTGCAAATATGAATGTAAATGAGAAAGCAATATACAGCATCGTCGAGGAATTAATAGATTCCTGCGTTATGGACGATATACTTAGTGTTCACAGATCTATTAAGTTAGATTATTCCCACCTATTACTTACCGACGCTAAAAATGCTTTAAATGGCGAAAATGAATCAGCCAACTTCAATTCTTTTCCTAAATCCGAGTCGGGTGCCAGAAGCTCAACAGTTTTTGTCCACTGTGCGAGATGTACTTCAAAGGTCGCAGCTACGAGATATGCATCTCATCTCTCGAACTGTATGGGACTGGGACGCAATAGCTCCAGGCGCGCTAATAGGTAGTTTGTTTAATTTGCTTATTTTACTGATTGTTTTTCTGTTTATTCCTATAGACTCATTGCTGAACAGCGACGCTTTGAAGACTCGGATGATGTAGAAGAGGCATACTATCTTGAAAATAGTCCTATGTCTCTCTCCGGCCATAAGACCGAATCTTCGCTGAATAATTTCCCTAAAACTTCAAGTTACCCATCTCGGAGTTCGAAGTCGAACTTGAGGCTTTCTGGAATAGCGTCAAAGTCATCTAATGGACGTAACTGTAACAGCATTCCTGGGGAATCTACTTTAGAAAAGGCAGATTCCTTCGAAAGCGTTTCATTTTCTTGTGGAGACGATGATGAAAGTAATTCTTCCGAAGCTCCTCGACGTTCCGGTTCCTCGCGAAATCGTCGACACCAGAAGTCTCATGTGTAATCTAATCAACTTGTTTCAAATTTCTTGTCTTTCCTTGCGCATTTGTGTACATATTTTTTTTCAAAGCAATTCACCAACCTTTGGTTAAATCGCTTTTCTCTTAATTAGGCCTCTATTTACATGTGTGTTGTAAAAAATTGACTTCCAACAAAATACTCCTTGTCTTTATTAATTTTATTTGCGGCTAATCTTCTAATTACCTACGGCATCTTTACTCAAGCTCGAAACAAATATTTGCCTAGAGCTTACTCCGATTGAAGACGATTTATTGATTAGGGCTTGTGGAAGTCAATAGTTTAATCGATTTATTGAGGGCTTTGCGTAAGTTCGGCTAAATTCGTTCGCCTTCGTATATGCGTTGCTGAGCGCAATTACTAGTCGGCCTGTTAATGTACTTAGTGTAATCGGCTTAAGTATTAATTATATCGTTTTTTTCACATACACGACCAGATAAATAAACTTTGTTTAGATTATCAATAATAAATTTAAGCACGGGGCCAAATTAAAAGTGCTGTTTATAGCAGGGTCTCGGTCAGTCCTATAATATGCAATGGATTTGAGCCATAGAGGTATGCCGACTTACATGATTCAGAACTGTGTGAAAATCCTTTTTCTGTCACTCACAAGTGGTTTTGCTCTTCTGTTCTTAGCATTTTGACGAATAATATAAGTGAGATAAGAGGATGGAATGGCCCCTTTAGTTAGCTTTTGAACTCAAGCCGACTTTCGATATACATAATAATAAAAGAATTTATTCCATCTGGCTCTCTCACTCTTAGTGATTGATTCGCTCTATGCGATAAGGAAACAAAGGTTGATTGAACTGTTCAAGGCTTTTCTTAATACAGACGGATTGACTTCAAAGATTCCTGACTATTAGAAGTTTTGGTGATGGAACATAAATGCAGTGATGTAGGCTCTTGATCAGCTTCATGGGCATCTTCTCGCATCTGGATGCAGTGTTGTCAAACTGTCCATATATTGAAGCCTGAAGTCAACTAAAGGGCTAATGATAACTATCAAAACGACTGCCATTTGAAATAAATAAACATTGATCTTTATATGGATACGAATTAAAGGAGGCGGGCATTAAACGCGGTCCCATATGCGTTTATATCGGTTTGCTACCAGAAGAAATCAGCTTGACATTTCTATCCTTTCTCTTTGTTTCTTTTTCGAGAAGGCAGTTTTTCAGAAAAAATTTACAGGTCACAATTTGACGAGGCAAGCGTAATTGTAAATCCTACCTTAAAAAGATAATTCAATTATTCTTCAAGCTTAGTCACCATACTTCACAATTGCCACTTTAACTCAGAAGGTGCCTACCGTATGCATTGACCACTCCAATTGTTACAATCATCCTTCAAATCCTTGTAATCTCATTAATAACCGATATTTATGCATATATATATCCATATTTTAATTAAAGCGTTTAATTTGCGTCACAAATGGTGGGGGTAGTGGTGGTGGAATAATGGTAGGTGGGGGAATAGAGTTTTCAGAGAGGACGAAGGCGGAGGATTGGCCGAAGGAACCTAATGCATAAGAGCCGCTTGCTTTTCTGACAGAGAGCGTTGCAGGATCACAAAACGATTCTCCTGTGCAGTATTCAATTTAATCGACATACGCACTATGGTGAGTTTACTGCTAAGGCCATTCAAAATTCCCCAACCCATCTCACGAACCGTGGAATCGTTCACTCGCAGGTGAGTTACTGCTTCCTGTAGGAATCTGGAAAAATAAGGGGCAAGAAACACATGCACACAGTAGTGATCAGCTTTATTTGTTTTTTTTCTCTCTATAACTTCTAAATATTTGCACTTGCGAGTCAGCCCTATCTAACTAATCGGTTTCACATTTTCGACTTCATCGAGTCCTCAAGATCAGTGAGATCAATTTAATATAGATATGCCAATGTGGATATTCGAAGATGCTAACTACTCAGCCAACTCGACTTTACTCATGGACCCAACTAAGTTGTCTTCAGTCTCCATGTAAATGACGAATGCTTTTCTAGGTTGTCCCAAAATCACACACGTTTGCTGCCTACCACACCTAAGGTTTCAATGACCTCTGAAGCACTTTTGCCAATCATATCAGCACAAGTCCTCATTACCAAACACTTCTTACCTGTCCAACCTCTTCTCTCCCCAAAGATGTCTATTATGCAAACTTGCTAGAAGTAACTGTTTGTTCCCACCATTCTGTTGTCGTAATTAGATGGAGAATTGAAAACATAGTCTGGAGATTACCTCGAGACAAAAGCGAGATGCAATTAAATTGCGGAGTCGTTGGTTGATTTGTCACTCTAGTCTATTCACTTACATGTAATAAAAAATGAGTAATCTCTACCTTCTTCCAACTTCATTTGTGAAGTATATAAAATTTTGAAGACTAAGGTGCTTTATGTAATATTCGCCATGAACAACTTACGATAACTTCATCTCTAATTGGTCCTGAAGATTTCCACAACTGAGTTGATGGATAAGAGAGAGGAGGATTTCTTGCCGAATATTTTGGTCAAAGAGAGAAACAACTGGAATCTTCGGCAAAACTTGGAGTAGCACCGCCTGATTTGGTGAAGTGAGGGCCTTTAAAGGAGAGGAGAAAGATAAAATGGGATGATTCGTGTGATAAAAATAAAATTTCCGATTAATCAGGTAAATAGGTAGCCAGAGAAGTTCAGCATCGTCGTTAATCAAGAGACCAAAAATATTTTGGTCATTACAATAACTGAGTGTTTCACTGGATATCGAGTTGTGGTCTTTAGCACAATAAAAAGGACACAGTGATACTTCCACTGTCCAGTTTCTGGCGTTTTTTATTGACATCTGAAATGCCACATATCAGAATGAGCATCTACTTGTCCGAATAGTGAGAAGCAAGCTATCTTTATCAATTAATAACGCAACATATAGTTCTTCTACTGCCACTGCGTACCACTTCAAGAGCCTGGGGATATTGACCAGCTTGAATGAGGTTTAGAGCGTTCGTGATGGCATCATTAGATCCAAGATTAGGATTCTTCAACTGCTGCTGCTGTTGCTGCTGTGGTTGTGGATTTTGAGGTGGAATAAGGATTGGTGTTGTTGAAGTACGTCCAAAACCAGCATTGGGTAGAGAATTTACCGGAGAGACCGGTTGGACCTGCTGTGCCTTAGTTTGCTGTTGTTGCAGAGCCTTGTTTAAGACGTCGTTAACCCTCCCTGCAACTTTACCCTGTGGGAAGAACAAGGGATAGTGATAAACTTTATAAAATACAACCTATTAAGATGCGAAATACTGCCTTTGATGAGGAAGTTTACTTAGCACATTTTTAGCTCCACTACCGAAACATTGGGTAATGATAGGCGTAAGTTTACTATTAATCTCCTCCTTAAGTTGTATTTCTCATTTTTAATCAACGGAATGTGGAATAACAATTTCATACAATGACATGGCAATATCACGCAATTGGCCAAAGAATCAACTGACCCATTGTTTGACCAATTACATTCCAACAATTCCGATATGAAGGCCCAGTTAACGCACATGATTTATTCATTCCTCTGGGGATAGGATTACACTCTTACAGACCTAGTATCGCCCAATGGAAAACCTTCACAATGCTTAAACATTAACCAATAAGGTTCACATTGGTTCAATTAGTATTTTAGTTTTGGCTTAAAATAACGACTCTAATAAAAACACTTAACACTTACAGATATATCCTTGGACAGGCTTTTAATCTGGTCATCAAATTTCTTGGTCGAGGAATCCATCTTATTGCAGGTGCTCTGCACTCCTGATTCAATTCGCATTGTGACCGTCTGAATATCTGAAAGCGAAAAGAAGAATGAGGAAAGTGAAGGGAAAAAGAACCCGGGCACATTGTCTGCAAGTCGACAAGTGCACGCTTAGTGGTTTGCATTGCTTTCAAAATACCCATGTCTGAAGAGCCAAGTTACGATAAATAATAAAACGTATTTCCCACGCCTCAACAACTTTTTAACCAATTCATCCTAATCTTTCGATAAAAGCTGCACATTGAGATGTTGAGACGTGGATCTAACTGCCTTCTACGAGAATTCATAACTAACAAATGAAGGCCACAGACTTCCACTTTCCAGTCCTTAAAAAATAACCTCCCTAGTAATCTTAACAAAGCAGAGTATGATCTCAACCCCTGAATCCCTACTAAAGTGAATAAATATTGAAAAGAAGATAAACTTACGCCTGTTCATAGCGCCCTGAACAAGGTCGTCCAAATCTTTGCACAGTTTGTCTACAACGTTGTTGAGACCGGGCACCAGGGTTTGACGCAACTCATTGCGATAACCCTCAGCCACTACTGGAGACAGGGATCCACTCATTTGATCTGCGATATATTGGACAAATTTCTACAAAGTTGAGGGAAATAAAGTAGGGAAAAGAGAAGAGACGAAATTGAAGGTGACCATTCTATTAAGCTGAGATTGATTCAATCCTGTTTGTTTTGCTAGGCCTTACTGATGGGTTGGCATCTAGTTGGTCTCCCCATGCTGACTAAGCCAGGTGATAAGTCGTTACTTTCAAAAAGCCCACATGAAATAGACGCACCTACCACCCTCACTTTCAGTCGCCTACCTGGTTTGGAGGGATTGAATAAAGAGCGAAGAGGTTTGCAGACTATAGGAAATCTAGGTGAAAGCTGTAAAAATAACTATCTTCTTCACGATTCTTTTTTTATAAAATATCAAAGCACTTTATTTCTACTATACCCAGACCATATTTTTGGGTTTCTTCAGTCATTATCTTGGATTTTCATCTTCATTTCGCTGCAACTCTAATCTCCCAACCCCCCCCCCCCCCCCCCCCACCAACTGGCGTGTCTAGACGTATTTATTGACTCCGCTTTTTTCACTAACTGCCCATTTCATTGAAAAGTACACTGCACCCACAAAATAAACGTGTCTATGTTCAAGGGGCTCATAAACTACCCTTGAATTTCAGCTCACACAAATACATGACAATTATTTACTCTTTCTCACCTCTGCCCTTTCATCTCTACTCCTTATCATTGTTTGAATACTCATTGTGGTTTATTCAAAGAAGCTCATGTATTCTGCACTTTTGATAGACTGTGATCATTCATAGTTATTTGGTAGTTTATTAGCCACACTATAAGCTTTCATAAATTGATGATCAGTTCTTCCTATTACCCCTATAAACTAGAACTTCTGTTATTCAAGTTGGAGAACTAACCGGTTCTTTGATAACGGTTAGCATTCGATCGGCAACTATTTGTGGAAGGGGGCTGAGTATTCGTTCCAAATTTCCTCGTAAATTCTGAATCAAAGGATCCACAATCTTTGGGGAATCTAAAGAGGATCAAAGCATCACACATAGAGTATACTACTAATAAATCAATATAAGTAGATACGGCATGGGTCTTACTGGCTTGGAAGAGGTTGTGCAATTCATTTCGGACAACACCACGGACCTGTTCCACTATTTGTTTGTTATCCAAGCTCGGTGTAGGAGAGACAAGAGAACGCGGTCCCATGACAGTATCCGGCGGCAAGTTGGCGGCAGTGAGTTGAAGATTTTTGACAGCTATCTCAAGTTGAGACAACTGTTTGGCAGATTCTGTCTTCTGTTTGCGAACTATGAAAAAAAACTAGGATATTAAAGATATACATGTCTAGAACTGGCATACAGAACCCAGGAACAGGTTCTGAGGAGAATGCAAGTAACACCTTATGATTCTCTTTCATCAAGGAACTGACATTTTAGCTTTGTGGATAATAACCAATATTGTCAATTTCGACTAGTGGATGTACACAGGCGGATCAAATCTCCCAAAACCCAACCACACATCGATCTGCCATCACTGAGCCCATCCAACTAACCGGTTTAACGCTCAAAATTCAAACGCTATTTCCTGGCCTTTTGATTTTTATTCCCAACTTCTACTTCACCATGACTCATTTTTTGCGACTGCTAAAAAGATTACCTGTAGTTTTACAATAGGATTTACATAAAAATTAACACGAGTTGTAGAGAGAGGATCTAGTTTGCGCCCTGGAATGCAATTAAGAGTGAATTGCCACTCACTATAACTGCGGCGATTTAATTATTATAACACACTGAAACGTTGTTCACCACGAAGAAGAACCAACTGAAATAATGCAAAGTAAGATAATGCTAGTATACCAATTTGAGCATCCGTAAATCACTACACTTCATTGTTGATCTCAAACGAATGTCGTTAATTCACATAGGAATAAAATACCCATAACCGACTTACCATGATCCAATATTTGATTAGCCCAAGGAGGAGGAGAAGTTGTGGAACTTGCAACAGGATACACTGGAGTTCCAGGTGCGGCTGAAGTGAGTGAATTCACTTGCTTCATGATGAGTTTCTGTTCGTTCGAGAGTTTTGCCAAATTATTCTTATTCTCAAGCACCTTGTCTACAAAGCACATACACACACAAAGGCTCAATAACGACAAATACCCTGCTAGATGCGCCTATTCTCATGTCACGTACTTGTAAGAGTTTTTACCGAGCCTAGGATTTCCTTATTCTGTCGAAAAATAGCTTTTAGCAATGGGACAATGTCACCGTTGTTATCGCCACTGCCTCCTAAAAGACTCTCGTCTAGGGAAAATGCGGAAGTAGAGCCCCTTTGGTTTTGGTTTTGAACTTTATGGAACTGAGAATCACCTTGACTCTGCGGTATATTTGTGCCGACTGAATAGCCATCCAAACTTCGAGTAGAATCGGAGAGAACATTCTTCATACTCAAGCCAATGGCCCTATTCTGATTATCATTCGGAGGGCCCACAAAATTGTTTGTTGAAGAATTATCTATGGGGAGAGAGAGATAGGCATATACTACTGAAATTGGTAATAAGTGGGAATGAAAAAGAACTTACGACGAAGGGAGCTTGATAGGCTGGCAACACTACTACTACCTGCCAAACTACACACAGAATCTGAAAGCACTGGTGTTTTGTATCCTCTTCCAAAACCCGCGAATGGAGTTCGACTCGCATCGGCTTTAAGAAAGAAACATAAGAATTTAGAAAGCTAAACGGAAGTTGGGTCAGATACACACTCACGAATGAATTGATGCTTCATTTGTGAAACTTTAACTCTTTGATATCCTTGAAACCAGCCATTTTAGGCAAATAAATTGACCAAATCAACCATTAGGGAAGGTAATTTTAGTCGATGTTACGACATTTCCTTTTCTTGTCAAATCTAGCTCATTATAATGACTTGTAGTAAGCAATAGGAAATTAAAACTCTACTTATATTCACGAAATGGGAACAAAAAATCTGATTTAATCTCTTTACCACAACTTCGTTGGCAATAAATCAACACGGGTATTTCCATCTTGTCAATTTGATTCTCAAATCTTATTAACCCTCTATTTCCCATTCTTTTTTTACTTTGGTCAATATAAAAGCGGTTTGAAACTACTAAGTTAAATGCACAATTAGTACTTTAGAAATGACTAATTAGCAGGCATCGTTTACCACGAAAGCTAACCAACCACAAAACATCTATTTAAGGTAGGACCCTTCTTTAAATAAACCCCCCCCCCCCCCCCCCTCCCAATTTATTGACAAAAGGCGAGAGTATAAGAAGTTAACTCACTACAAGAGGGGCAACGAAAGCGAGATTCTTCTTACAATACACCAAGTGGTTGTGCAACTATTGCACACAAGACACCCAAAACAAGTAAGCACACGTTCTGGCTATAAATCAATTACACTCCCCACCGAATATACTATATATGCCTTGACAGATAGGCAATACATACCAGTAAGTGCTGAGGAAGTAGAAGGTCCATGCTGAAGATTCTCCTGCAGATTTGGTGAAGTTGCGTGGGGATAAACTGAGATCAACGAAGGGGGATCTATGTTGCTAGGAGAGGAGTCAAAGATCTTACTTAGACCACTACCACCAAACACAGCGCTTCCTCCAACGCTTTCTTGTTGACTACTTGGACTTGATCTTATACCAATTGTTGAGTTTTGAGTACTATATGTTTAAGGAAAAGGCATTTTTCATTAAAGAAATCATTGCGATTTCAAAGTAAAAGAGAGGCAACTTACACTTCACCCTCTAGAGAAATCTTTGGAGTGCCTAGTTAAAGAAAAAGAGGCGATTGAAATCGAAAGCGTAATCATGAATACCTTAAGATTGCTAGTGCCATTGGGTTCAAAAGAGGTGACATAAAAGATCACCCTTAACGAACAAATCTTAACCTAGTAAAGGAGATTATAAACCATGATACCCCTCCTGTGAGAACTAGCATTTATATTAACGTTTATTTGAAAGGAAATAGTCAGCGGTTAGCTATCCACACCAATATATGTGCATTGATTCACAACGACCTTGAAAACATCCTTACTTTGAAAACATATAACTACATTTTCTAGAGCTTAACCTTCTCCTTCCGAACAAGAAGACATTAATAACTTAAAAGAAGGCACTCACACACACACAAAGTAGAATATCCAAGACAGGTCTGTATGGATAACACGAAGATGGTAATTCAACTCCCACAAGGTATGAAAATTACTCAAAAAGGAATCTACACAAAACTAGGTAGCATTACTTACTGCTTGGGAACCATCGTATAAAGGAGAGTAATAGATGCTTTAATGACTTCCAGATGCCTGAAATCGTCAATTCAAAATGAATTCTTTAACTCCGGCCTACTGTGTTCTACTCGAGCCTATTTAAGACCTTTTGGGGAGAAGCATAATTGTGTTTAAAAAAGAAAATCGAATTCAAGTGAAGCCAACAGTTCAGAAGTGGACTTTGAAATTGCGATAAAAATGTTATTGACGAGGCCTTGTGATATGTAAAGCACAAATTGCTTAGCGCATTGCTTTTCACCATTAACCCCACAAATCAATCAGCCCGATTAGGCTAAAAATAGTGACAGGATCGAAACATGCGCCGATTTTTTGGGTGCCTTTAAAATTTGAGAAAAGAATTTCAAGTTTTTAAACACTTGGTGTTCTTTGGTGAGTTAAAAGTAACATAGGCTATTCTGAATCGACAATCGAGATAGAACTTTAATTTCGAGGAGGTAACTATCTATTACAAATTGTGAGCACGAAAACTCTATGGTAATGCACCGTTTAAACGAAAATATTTCAAATGACAAAATACAAATTCCCCTAAACCCATTGTAAAAAGCAATCTAATATTTATTAATAAATTTTGATATGTTGGAAGGAGAAGAGGAATAGAGTAAATAGAATTCTTAGCCACAATTTTCCATTACACTTAACTTCTGTGAAAGGTTATCCGATGTACAGAACACTTTAATCGAGCCTTTGTCAATTAGAATTATGCAAACGAAGTGATTGAAATGTCAATATAACCATGAACTCATATCAGAAAACTGAACTTAGGAACATTAAGGACAAGTTTTTCAGTGAATGGCGCTCATTAAGTAAAAACATGACAACTCGATGAAATCCAATATCATACAAAACAAGACTTACTTGATAACCTGACTACATTCTACTTCTACCTACAGCCGCCAAGTTGCTAAACTGCCTTACCATTTTCTGCATCCAGATATTTCATTGTAAAACAGGCAGTTAAGAGAAGTTCCAAAACTAGCTACAATTCCATCGAATCTTATGAAACAATCCCACTGGTGAAATGTTCAATTAATAACAAGTTTTAAAAAAATGATAATAGTAAAACTCACTCGATTCAAGAGAGGGTGGATTTTCCGAAGGAGATGCGGCATTTCCCACATTCCCTTGTGAATTATAATGAATTGGATTGGAAGCTTCTGATTTTGGACGTATATTCAGCAGGCGAGAAAAAACATCCATTTCTTCAGGAGGATTCGACGAAACGACTGAGCTGGATGAATTAGGCTCCGATTCCTAATAAGTTAATAAATACTGGAAAATCACATACTTCTGAATTGGGAAATTCTAGGGAGCTATTTAAATCCTTTTGTATGTACGTTTGCAGAGGAACAAAGAAAGAGAGTCTTCCAACTGCCAATGCCCTAGAGAGAGGAAATAAGATGTAATAAACAACTTACTTTGGATGGATTAGTAGGAGATTGGCTGCGATATTGTCAGAATCAGCTAAGGCTGAATCGACGAGAGCTGTAGCAACACAAAAAGAGACTGAGAGAAATGGAGAATGACATTTAGAGCCATGTAAATTTCAGACATGAAGTAGCCAATAGGCTCACAGCCTTGACAGATTAGCGAACCGGGACGTAGCGAAAGCAAATATGATTCGCTATATGATGTGTGTGCGTGCGTGCGTTTGATTTTAGAGAGTAAGTAGAAAGCATAACCAACTGTCGACTCACGCTTATCGAAGGAGTGCGAACGAGTTGCATGGTTCAGATTAAAGGCGATACAAGGAGCCACAAGAGGAAACTCGCAAAGACACTGAAATCGGAGCTCTTCCGGGTTATTAGGATTACTTGCTAGCAGAAGTGTATACAGCACCTGTACAAATGAAATTTAAGTATTATTGAATTAATTTCACAGATTGTAACTATGGTAAGATAGAACACACTACTATTGAATTTTACTTATCCAGGAACGAACGCACAAATGAGATCTAATATTTGCTTATTACTGAAATATGATAGTAGAAAACACATCGTCAAAAAATTATTTAGGTTAATATATTCAGTAAATAGAATCGAAGATAGGAAAGGTCAGTCGAAAAAATAGAGTATAAAACTTAAAAAAATATGAAACAAATTCATAAAGTAATTTATTCTGCACAAAAGTGAAATAAGGAGTGGTAAGTTGGTGCGACCCCCAGCTCTACAATAAACAGGAAGCCGAGGACATGTCGACAATGAAGGCATAGTACGAAGTAGCACACAGGCCAGCCATGATAAATAGGGGTTTGAAATAGATATAAAAAATGATCGCAAAAGTACAATGATGAAAGATTTAACTGATAAATATCAAAAAAATTTTCAGGCAGACAAATCAGAGACAATCCTCAATATAGACGGAAAGTAAAGCACAAACAAATGTGAACTTGCATGAAAAATTAGCCAAGGTCTAACTGAACATAAATTCAACAGAATTTCAAACTATAAAGGTATTAAATAATACCCGACGAGTAGCATACACTTCCATTTTTGGGGAAAAAAGACCACCTTTTAAATAAAAAAAAGTATAAGAAGTAAATGACATCAAGAAATAGTAGGTCCGATGACAGTGAAATCAAGAAAATACAAGGTGCAGTCAAGACGTATGAAATATTTTTCGACTCGAGTTACACAATATTTACCAAATGAACAATTCGCATACCAAAATTCAAATTTCAATATATATGTCATCAGGATCGAGTCAGATTCTTGTCCAAGATGCACAGAGAGGCATTGTCCATTGAAGAAGAACCGGACTTTCAAGAGATGTGAAAGGGGAAATTCTCAAGTTAACAGAACTAAGCAAAATGAGTTCGAGCTGCAAAATTTCATCACAAATTTCATGAGACTGGATAGATTGCACCTCCTCAATCATATTTCTTGAGGATTACTTTTGGTCCTAAACCTTAAGAAGCCTAAAAGTATTTTATTTTATTGGTGAAACAATATACTACAATGGGTCAGAGCTAGAATTGTTCTTTTATGAAAAGTGCATAGAAAGAGAAGAATTGAGCAGATATTAATTATAGAAAGGCAAGTTCAAGTTGAAATTCGTGATCAAACCTAGAATCTCTTAGAAACAATTGGTAAAAATCGAAACATCTGAATTGCAGAAAGTTGGCTAATAGTGGAAAAGGTTTAACATGGAGCCAAGATGCATTGATTTGCAGGAAATTGAGGAGACATGTGGCCGATGAGATGAATCGAGAGGAGGGAATCTGACGACGAAATGACACTTTGGTGTCGATTTTTTTCGCATGTGAGTTGGGCAGCTGACAAGGCGAAATACAACCAGCCAAACCGTCTGCCCGTGCCAATTTGACCAAACACACACCACACACAAATGCTTAAACGAATTTATCAAAAGTATAATTACTGAAGTAGTTGCAATCTTACAAATAAATTGCTTCAAACTTGCACCTGATTCAGGTACGATGTCATTGCTCTATTGACCTATCATATGATCATAACTTCGAGAACTCAATAATAGAACGCCAATACAGTAGAGGTGAGTTTCATTCCATAAGATAAAAGCACTGCAATCCAGCACACTTTTATAACAATGTGCCCATTTAAGAATGACTAACAGTTAAAAAGTTGTTCACTTTGTCCAACACTAGGAAGTCACCAAGTCACAACCAATGACCTCCTTCAAATATGTGCACTCAGGGAACACTTCGTCACTCAGACTTCAACTGTCTCCCGATTTCGAATTATAATCAATTTAACTCCCCTCAAAATGCGTGCCTTAGCTGTACAGAGAAAGCTACAAATGGCAATAATTTGGACCCATGCGATGTAACCTTCCAGTCTAATTTGTTGCAACGTTTGCCATGACACACTTGGGATGGACGCATAGAGATCATCAAGGAGCTTTCAATTTAAAAACACTCAATAATCACTGCTAGTTCTATAAGCCGTAGTGCAGTAACCGTTCCATGTCTTGGATATGTATCACCTGAACATCACCTGGAAATTGATTTACGTGGTGAAGGTCCTTAGAAGAAGACATAAACAAATTGAAAGGAAAATTCCAAAATATAGGATAAAGTTGCAATGCGACGATTTATAAAGAAGGCGTCAAGACATCAAAGTCTTTCTGAATCCGACTTTTAGATTCGGGTAGCACAGTATTTGCAAGATGGGTAGCTCAATTTCATAGATTGAAACAAGCGCTTGTCAAAAGTGGCAAGTGTTTTTAACCGTTTATAAGGGGCCGGTTTTGCCACTTCAATTCTACAGAATCGAGGACTTGGTGAGACATTCAGTGGGCTAATAAGGTTATAAGACCCCGTGCAAAAAATGCACTTTTAGTATACTGCATTAAATAATAAGCCTTCAAACTGAGGATCAAATCACTTATCGCATAATGCCGAAGATAGTAAGATGATTAAAAGAAGGAAATAAATGAGTAAATGACACCAAGGGGGATGCCTGGCGAGGGATCGAATTGCTGCAATTGACTCATTGCATTGACCCAACTTAAACAGCACAGTTAATTACCCCACTGGTCCGGAAATCAAAAACTGGCATTCATCAAGCTCCTAATTTACTATCAAATTATAATTGCACTAGAACAACTAAACACTGAAAAATGGTCTAGCCATAGGGGACAAATTTATTGAACCGATAAAAAAAATAAGTGATCAATTATTTTAAATAGTGGAATTCAACTTCAAAAATAGCCTTCCAATCTTTAAAATAAAACGAAATAAGCAGATGTAAGTGTTTCACTTAACTAACGATATGGAAAAAATGATATCTGCAATTATAACGAATAGATCGTTTACTAAATAAACCTTATTAGCAGTAAGAATAAAGAAAGGGCCTCACCGTACGCTTAATATCGCTGATAAACATCACCCCCGACTCTTGATCAAATTGAGAAATGAGCACTGGAGGAGGTGAACGTTTTTTATTTTCTTCTACACTTTCTTCCTCTTCATTTGAACAGAAACGAATGGTTTGGAGAAGCTTGAAATTTGGCAATCGCCAGAGTCGAAATTCCCGACAAGAGTTGGTCCCTCCAATTAAATAGTCAATACTGAAAATTAAATAACTTCAAAAATTCGAGCAAGTACCCCTTATAATTCACATAATTGAGCACAAATAGGGGAGAATAGGTATCCGTAGGCCAACTTTGAAAAGCTATAAAGCAAGGCCGATTTTTATCGAAGAGATTGAAAGCGAAGATATTCCCAAGGTCTGCACTGACAAAAAGTGTTGAAGCATCGACAGAAAACGTAACTGCTTCAACGTCGTGTGAAAAGGGAGATATAATATTAATCATATTGGAAAGAAGACGAGGTTTCGTGCGGTATCTACTTAAAGCTTCCGTGAAATCTTGGTCACTTTGATCCAAATTTTCAACGACGCCATTCAAATCGATAACAAATACCTGAGCGAATGAGGCATTAAAAGTGAACGAAAAATAACTTACTTTCTTATTTACAGTTGCAACTAAAAGCAACGAAGTATCCATACCATTTTTTGGCAGCTTCGATTTTGGACCCCATTCAAGAAGGAAATGCGTTATGGATGCTACATTTTCAGCAAGATTAAATGTAATCAATAAATCATTGTCTCCATGGGTGAAGTTGATGTGATAGATTTTCAAAACACCATCAGGACCAAGGATAGCCAAAATTGGTTTGTCATATTGAGAAAAGTCCAGTGTCAAGAAATCACCATCAAAATCTCTGATAAGTGATCTATTACGACCATGAGTAAGACGAACAAATAATTGAGTCGGATCCGCTATGGTAATTAAGATAAGATTAAAGAAATTTCGCATTACGCTTAATTAACCACGCAAGATTTCCAGATGGCATATGTTTAGAAATGATCTTTGAAGGATAATGCTTGTACTCCCACTCATAAGAAACTAAAGGAGAAACCATTAACTGAACCTAGTTAAAAAACGATATAAACTCACGCAGTTACTAGATTCCTTATTCTGACTAATAATTTCACACTTCGAACTTGGTATAACATCAACACATGAGGAATGGATAGAGTTATAGACATTAGAGGGGTTATTATTTAATGACCTAAAGAAAGGGTAAATGTATTTTACATCAATTACAATTTCTGTATAAACGACTGCATCTTATTTGAAGTTGTATTCAAATGCTGGAACTATTCCACTGCCAATCAATGAGACGTATAAATGTAAATAAGTCGGTTAAAAGAATATTAGACATTTGGGTAAAAGAGCGAAAAGAAATTTGACTTCATGGATATATATTTATTTTTTATATTTGCATGATTTAATTTATTGTTTTTATTGTTAACATTCTAAGGGTATTATAATTTTAGCATTAAATTAAGGTAAATGAAATTTTAAATTTGCGGTTAGTGTGGCGAAAAATTGCATAACTTATTGAATAAATTTTTCTTTTATAACCTTGCTAGTACAGTTCCGGATTTATATTTAACATGCAACCTTGTAATTCATTGAGAGACCTATTATTGAGGCTTATTTATGTCAAAACAGAAGAGCCCATTTCTTGAGTGTGATAAGCCATTGCGTTAAAAGGAATCGACTGTATAATTGAAAAAGTGCCTCAGAGAATTGAAAATATATAGCATCTATTTTATAACATCATTTCATTTTTTATTTTCCGCTATAAATGTCTTCTGAAAACAATGTCGTGGACATCCTTTCTTTGTAATATTACACCATGGTGTAGTATAACCTAAATGGCTATTGCAACGTTAAAATTTCGTTTGAAATAAATATGCGATTGGCCTGACCCAGCTGGAAATTATTCTCCTTTAAGGCTCTTATTGTTCTATTTTAGTCTAACGTTGAGTTTGTTATTACTTCTAGGTTTTTCGAAATTTTCTAAAACTTAATAACTTGGTTGCGTTTCGGAATGAACTCTCAGAAATATGCAATTCAACACGTTTTGCCCAAACGCACACATTTGGAAGAAACGCATAAACGCTCTAAACAAAAACCTTAGCAACGGCTTTCCCTTTAAATTCATAATTGCATATTGCTTTTGGCCATGAAATAGTGGATTGCCTGTAGATATAATGCGGTGTTTCATGATATATTTCATCATTTAAATACAATCGGTTTCGAAAGCATTCCGATTTTGCCATTTCACTTAATTTAATAACTCTTTTTTCCGTATAAATCTTAATGCACGTGAATCTGCCAGTACATGGAAGTCGGTTTTTTCTTCGGTGTCCTTAACTCTCGTACGGAATTCTAAAGAACCTAGGGTGATTACGGAAGTCCAACAAGAACTTCCATCTTTTGGGTTCAACATATAATTGTGATAGCTATTCTTAAAAGAGTGAGAAATCGTTCCTGATACAATTCATTAGTAATTCCTTATTTCAACAGACACATGCCTCATGCCGCCTTCAGGTTGAGCATGGAACTATCTGTCGAGCTTCACAACTTTGTAATGTATTTATGTTTAAAAAAATTCAACAATATAATTCCGCATGCATCTTAGCTTCGAATTATTTTGATGTATTCCAGTTACTTTATTAGTTTATTCATACTTCCTTAACACCCATGTTAATCCTCTTTTGGTATTTTCTTTGGAAAGCTTTGGTACCTTAAAAGCTTTACTAATTTTTGATTCCCCCAAATTACAGGTGGATATTTTATTGTAACTGGAATGTAATTAAAGAAGCGTGATTATTTTCCCCAATACTTTTATTATTTATTAAGTAGAAAGTTCGTCGTTCTATATTTATATTAGAAGCATTCAAAATAAATAAATCATAAACAAAATTTACGCCAAAATGAACTTGCCAATAATTAAAGGATATTGAAATAGAATTTCTTTAAAATGGAGGAAACCCCAAAAGTGTATTGTCTTAAAACCAAGATAATCGAAATTAAACTCATTACCCAAACCTATTTAATAACAGATAAAACCGAATTGTTAATATGTAGTAATTATGTGGAAAGGCCAATTCTAAATTTGTCCGTAATTAAACAAATTTTTAAAAGAAAAACTGTAATCACAGCAGCTTTTATACTTTGCTATTTGAGATTTTATTTAAAAATGTAGTAGCTTGATTGACTTTTACTAAATTATATCAGTCAAGCGTATGCCATTTATTATTAATGCTTTTGGAACATAATAAAATAGTAAAATAACTTTAATCTTGGAAATCAAATCTAGTTATTTATGTTCATAATATTGAAAATTATAATATTAGTAAATTTGATAAAACTGAATTGTTTACTTGTATGGAATGAGTCTTTCAAGGCTGAAAGCCGATATTTAAGTACATCTGATAGGTAAAGGCGTTGTCGTTACCCTTTTTCTATCGGGATGTTGTCGCCTAGAATCGCATGCATTGCTAATGGAACTTCCAAGGTTAACTATCTCCTTAATGCCGTTAAACTTTCAACCTGCAGTCAGGAACTACCCTTCCATGAAATGGTTGGAAAATTCTACGACAATGCAGCCAAATTTGTCGAGAAAAAGATGGTCGAAGAAATAGAATGGCGAGGACCAACCGATAAAAAAGCCGAGTATGTTAAGGGAATCTTAAATAACATTCGTAACGTTGATAATGTATCCGAGTTCAACTTTCCAATAAAACGTGATAATGGCTCTTATGAAATCATTTCTGCTTGGCGAGCTCAACATAGTCACCACCGTTTGCCATGCAAAGGGGGTATTCGCTATGACTCTAATGTAGAAATGGGTGAAATTCTTGCTCTTGCTTCTCTCATGACCTTCAAATGTGCTGTTCTCAATGTCCCATTTGGTGGTGCTAAGGGTGGCATTCGAATTAACCCTCAATCCTATTCGCAAGATGAACTAGAGCGTATTACTCGACGATATGCTCTTGAACTTGCTAAGAAGGGTTATCTTGGTGCTTATATTGATGTTCCTGCTCCTGATATGAATACTGGCGAACGCGAAATGGCTTGGATTGCTGATACCTACACCCAAACAATTGGTAAAAATTTTATTAAACATTTACAAGAAATTTAGGTTACAAGGATGTCAATTCAAAGGCCTGTGTTACTGGCAAACCCATTAACCAAGGTGGGATCCATGGTCGTACTGCTGCTACCGGACTTGTATTTTTTGTGCTCTACTCTGATAATGAATTAATTAATTTAGGGTCTCTTCTATACTCTTGAGAACTTTATCAACAAAGAAGCCTGGACCCGAAAATGCAGTTTGAGTCCAGGTATTAAAGGCAAAACTTTTATTGTCCAGGGTTACGGCAACGTCGGTAGATACAGTGCTAAATTCCTCCATGAGGGTGGGGCTAAGTGCATAGGTATTCTTGAAGTCGATGGAAATCTCTACAACCCCAATGGGATCGACATTACTGCTCTAAATGAGTATACGACCAAGCATGGTAGCATTGTTGACTTTCCAGGTGCAGAGTCATCCAAAGCATCAATTGATTTACTCTTTGAAAGATGTGATATTCTCATTCCAGCTGCTAATGAAAGACAAATTAATGCTAGTAATGCCGATAAAATTCAGGCTAGGCTCATCATTGAGGGCGCTAATGGTCCTACTACACCCCCTGCTGATGCTATTTTGAAAGAAAAGAATGTTCTAATTATCCCTGACCTTCTTGCCAATGCGGGTGGTGTCACGGTTTCATACTTTGAGTGGCTAAAAAATCTTAACCATGTCAGCTTCGGTAAACTCTCCTTTAAGTACGAGAAAGATAGCCAACAGTATCTTCTGGGTAAGTCCTTCTTCATTTCACAACTTGATAATGGCTTATTTAGAGAGTGTTGAGGAGTCTTTGGAACATGCTTTCGGCAAGAAGGTTGGTATAAATCCCACTAAAGCCCTCCAGGAACGTTACGATGTAAGTAAACGTTTCCAATCCTCAATTCTCAACTTCTAGAACATTTCTGAGGAGGATGTTGTTCATTCCGGCCTTCACTACAGTGTTCAACGCGCTTCAAATGTGAGTTAATTGCAGGAATTGAATTACTCACCCTTCCGTTGCGATAATTCATAATTTCCTTGCTATTGCTTGTGCTTTAGAACGTTATGGATACTTGTGATCGCTACCATCTTGGCATAGACGTGCGTACCGCTGCTTACATTAGTGCTATTGAAAAAATCTTCCTCACTTTCCACAAATCTGGAATGACCTTCTAAGTAGAAAGGAGCAGCATAGTGACATCCTCGTAGAATCAATTCTCCTTTTTAAGACAAAAACCTTGTCAATCAAAAAACCAATGTGCTTTTTGGCATTTGGAAATGTATGGGGTACGGTATTCTACCTTTTCGGGGGATTTAGTTAATTGCGACTGACTGAAAAAGTGGATCAGTATGTCGTAAAGCAAGAATTAATAATAGCATTTTACTAGAAGTCAAATGTTAACTTCAAACAGACGTCATTCTAACACAAAAGTAATGGAGGATCGGTGTAGGTGGTTGGGATTTGTTTGAATTCAAGTTTAGTGGTCCAAATGAAAAGTGTGGCCGTTTTAGCTGTTTAAGATATATAGTTTTGTCCACATCTAGTAATCAAAATTTCAAACTGCTCTAATTTTTACAAATTGATAGTGGGGTGATAAATAAGAAACCATAGATGCTGAAACATAGCAGTATTCCGAGAGTTTGAATGATTTCATTACTAATATCCTAAGGGGATGTGCGATAGACAACTCCACATAATGCACACCGGGAACCTGTACTCATACGGCAAAAATGTCTATAAACCGGAAGTTGAATTCTGACTTCAAACTAACTGTATGTCATATTCCACCACTTCCATAGTACTCACCTTACCTTACCTCTTTTCTCTGCCATTGTGTCTGTCACTTTTACATCTGTGAATCACTCTTCAGTTCCCCCTCCCCACTTTTGTTACTTTGTTCCTCCCCTCTGTGAAGCTGGAAGTCAGCTAAAGGGATAATGATAACTATCATATTACCTACCATTTGATATAAACAAAGTATAAATTTCCTAAATAATCCATATAACACATTTTAATTTGTATGGCCAAGTTTTGAAATGCGAAAATAAGTTATTTTCATAACATCGTTTCAGTGACATTTTAACTACCCAATTATATGCTCATTATTAGAAAGTGGAGAGCCCAGACAATTTGGCCATCTACTTCCTTCTGATCTCACCCCCTACCCCCCCCCCCCCCCCCCCCCCCCCCCCACCCCCACAGTACCTTTCATTCCTCTCATTGATTTTCTTTCCCACAATACAGTCCAGTAAGTTTTACTTTGCATTTCAATAGATAGCCAGTATTATAGCTCACAATCTAGTTAAATGAAAGCTAGACCGGATTGAATGTTTTTATAAGGCAAAATGTGTTGTGTTCACTCGATTCCACCAAACTACTCTTAAATAATCAATTTCCTAAAATGTTATAATGTTCTAAAATTTCAAGGTTGTGGACTTTTTAAATTATCAAATCATCAGCGGATGGAGGTATGCGATTCCCGGGTGGCGTAGCGGTAAACACGTGCGTTCGCTTTATCATAGGAGTATCTTAGTAGTCAAGGCATATTTATCTCTTTAAAAGATTCTGAATTTGAGTGCTGAAAAATGCCTCCTTTAGGAGTGTTTGAACATATCAAGATTTAAGAAACTACATGATCTAATGCAATTTTTAAACTCGTTGGATTTCTATATTGACGAAACGTTAATGTAACAAGCAAAATAAACCGAGAAGGGCTCTAAAGTGTTAAGTTATAATTATGGCATCTTCACTAGAAAAGCGGTAGTCAACCTAGCAGATAGCTAAATTAATTGGTCTATGCTAGCGTTTCAATCTATCGGAGTTCCAAATTGTAACTGGGTGGAACACAACCTTATCTTGGCAAAAGCAGAGGCCTCTAGACTAATCAATCACCTATGTCATTTAGTGGTCATCAGATCTATCAATGGCCCAAGTCATTAGTGGTTGTCATGTCAGAAAGTACATATTAAGATAAGATTCCTCGTCACTTCAAATATCACAAATATACGTGCTCCTCGTTATATGTCTATTTCCTCTACAGTTTTGCGGCTACCTTTCTAAACCTACAAGAACCTGCCTTAGAGATTACTGAGTATAGTCAAGGCAAGTGTTTGCATCAATCCGCTACATACTAAAGATGAAATCATAAAAGGTTATCGATTTAAGAAAATTATTTATTTATATCAAATGGCAGGCATTTTAATAGTTATAATTAGCCCTTTAAATGACTTTGGGCTTGACAGAGGGGAAAGAACATCAAAAGGTCGAGAGAGGGGGGAGGGGACAGAAGAGTGTTTTAAAGATGTAAAAGAGACAGATAGACACAAGGGCAGATAAAAGGTAAGATGGGTACTGTGAAAGGGGTCGAATATGACATATAGTGGGGTCATGGTAGTTTGAAGTCAGAAGTCAACTGCCGATTAATATACTTTTTTTTGCCGTGTGAATATACGTTGGCCAGGGTGCACCACGTGGAGGTAAGTCTATCGCACCCTTTTTAGAAAATTATTGTACGTGGCAAATAAAATAGAAACTCTTTGCAACTGGAGTCTGTATTCAGCATATTTAATCCATAAGCTTGCTTAGAAAATCTTGTTTTCGTCTGTATTCGGCGCTTATTTACAGCGCAAGATACGGGTGTGTCCAGTTTCATCTACAATTGCAAAATATTTATTGAAATAAACAAAGAGGGTACTTTGAATAACAAAATTGAAATTGAGCTTAATTGACTTATATTATTGAAACAAAACCGGAAAGCTTATTCCTTTACAAGGGATGCAACTATCACATCTATTCTGTCCTTTCTAAATGTGACCTCAACGATTTTTTCAACAAAATAAAATTTTAATGAGGTAATAAATGCGTTTCAAAGACCACTTTTACAAGAAGTTAATGTTATGAGTTAATTAAATCTCTAGTAAAGTCACATTTCTCACGGGCTTTGAAAAAGAAATTTCAACTAGAAAGTGTTTCCCTATTGTGGGGCATTTCGGAGGATTATCTCAAAAATCTGATATTCTTGAGAGTTCTTCGAGAAATTGATTAAAGTGCTATTTATTGTCTATTCCCCCTAGTAATCGAAAGAGATGATTAAATAATGTTAGGGGATTTTGTATATGAAATGACATCAAGTGTGAAAATTTTAGTAATTAACAGTTACTTGGTGCAAACAATAATCTAACTAGAATTTCATGCGAAACCGTGTTCACAAAGGCTTCCACTAGCTGCAAAGCTAACTGATTGCTAACTTTACGATGGTTTTGGTCGATAGACTTAACTTCACTGGGCAACCTATACTCGTACGGAAAAAAATCTATAAACCAGATGTTGCCTTCTGACTTTAGACTACCATGACCCACTGTACGTCATATTCCACCACTTTCATGGTACTCACCTTACCTTACCTTACCTTTTTTTCTCTACCATTGTGTCTGCCACTTTTACATCTGTGAATCATTCATCAGTTCCCCCTCTCCACTTTTGTGACTTTGTCTGTTCCTTCTCCACTGTGAAGCTGGAAGCCAGCTAAAGGGTTTATGATAACTATCAAAAGACGTTCAAATAGGGGGAAGGGGACACGGAATGTAGCACTAAAAACAAGTTTGCTCAAACCGTCAAGCACCGAGGTAAATAAACCACGCGTTTTCCTTATAACAAATATTGCTTTGAAATGCAAAACTAATTTATTGTTTGCTAAGCACAAAACTGGGGAATTGCCCCTTCATTCAACATCTTCCGCGAAAATAGGGGATCACTTATGTTGTTGTTCCCTCTTTCTCCCATTCGTAATTTATTATACTCGGTTATTTGGTTTATTTCTGCCAAGCCATACGCCAAGTCATTTGTAAGTGAACTAGATCTCGTTCAACCACTCCTCTACCCTGAAATCTTCCCCTAATGACTGCCGAAAATGAACATTATCCTAATCATCCTTTCTATCATAAGGTAAACGTACTTCCCACGCGATATCCCTCGCATGAGGCCAATTGGTTGCCATTTGTAGCTTTCTCTGTATAGCTAAGGCACGCATTTTGAGGGGAGTTAAAATTGATTAGAATTCAAAATCGGGAGACAGTTTAAGTCTGAGTGACGAAGTGTTCCCTGAGTGCACATATTTGAAGGAGGTCATTGGTTGTGACTTGGTGACTTCCTAGTATTGGACAAAATGAACAACTTTTTAACTGTTAGTCATTCTTAAATGGGCACATTGTTGTAGAAGTGTGCTGGATTGTAGTGCTGTTGTCTTGTGGAATGGAACTCACCTCTGCTGTATTGGCGTTGTATTATTGAGTTCTCGAAGTTATGATCATATGATAGGTCAATAGAGCAATGACATCGTACCTGAATCAGGTGCAAGTTTGAAGCAAGTTATTTGTAAGATTGCAACTACTTCAGTAATTATACTTTTGATAAATTCGTTTAAGCATTTGTGTGTGGTGTGTGTTTGGTCAAATTGGCACGGGCAGACGGTTTGGCTGGATGTATTTCGCCATGTCAGCTGCCCAACTCACATGCGAAATAAATCAACACCAAAGTTTCAGTTGAAGGTTACCTCGCATGAGGCCAAATTTTTGCTACTTGTAGCTTCCCTATACAGCTAAGTCACAAATTGAACAGAACTCGAAATTGGGAGTTCAATTGAGAGCAATGAAGTGTTTTCTGAGTGCGCGTATATGGCGGAAGTCATCGGTTGTCACTTGGTGTCTTCCAATGTTTGTCAAAGTGAACGAATTTATAGCTGTAAGTTAAATCAACGGTTTACTATTAGTTTTTATTTCCAAATGTGTGCTGAATAAAAGTACCGTTGCCTTGTCTGACTGTGGAGTGAACCTTCAAGGTTTATTCCCTCGCTCATTGTTTTATTTATATTATTATCATTATTATCAATTTTATTAGACTTCTTCTTGGGAATACACTCCTTCTGTTGATCCTGTTTTTTGTCTAACCACACATCCAATCAATTGCCTGACTTACAACAATGGTAATTGGGGGTGTCAACGTAATGAAATGTCGACCCGCATGTTGAAGCGAATCTGTCCTCCTCTTACGAGTCAGGAATTGTCACTAGAGACATGATGGTCATCAGGAAAATTAGCAATAAGTGACCGGACCAATTCAGATATTTAACGACACTTTGACCTTCAACTTTCATACCACCTTCTCCCACCCCCCCTTC